TGGTCACTCAGTGGTCACTCAGGGTCACTCAGGGGTCAGTGGTCACTCAGGGTCACTCAGTGGTCGGTGGTCACTCAGGGTCACTCAGGGTCACTCTGTGTCCCCAGGTCTCCTGGTGCTCACGGTGGCCACCGAGGTGACCGATGGCTACCGGCGCTTCCTGCGCTCCGCCCGCGCCTTCAACTACAGCGTGCAGGTGGGCGGGCCTAAAGGGGGCGGGGCCACTGAAACAGCTGGGGTTAATGGGGTGGGCGGGGCTAAAGGGATGGGCGGGGCTAAAGGGATGGGGCGGGCTAAAGGGATGGGCGGGGCTAAAGGGATGGGCAGGGCTAAAGGGGGAGGAGCTAAATGGGGAGAGGGTTAAAGAAAGTGGGCGGAGCTTCAACTACAACACGTGGTGGGCGGGGCTAAAGGGGAGGAGCTAAAGAAAGGGGGTGGAGCTTCAACTGCAGCACACAGGTAGGCGGAGCAAAATGGATGGGGGCGGGGCTTCAGCTACAGCCACCATGTGGGGGGAGGGGCTAAAGGGGCGGGGCTTCGATTACATCATGCTGGTGGGGGCGGGGCTTCAAAGACAGAAGAATTTCCCCATTTTTGGCCATTTTCTGCCATTTTTTCACCATTTTTTTGCAGTTTTCCCCCATTTTCCACCCTTATTTTTTCACCCCTTTTTTTTACAATTTTTTCACCATTTTTTCCCCCATTTTTCACGGGAATTTTTACATTTTTTAACTGTTTTTCCCAAAATGTGCTTTTTTCTCCCCAGACTCTGGGGCTGCGCCAGCACTTGGGGGGGAGGGGACACTGAGGAATTTCCCCAATTTTTCCCCATTTTTTCCCCATTTTGTCCCCATTTTTCACGCGTTTTTTTACATTTTTCACCATTTTTCCCAAAATCCCGGTTTTTCTCCCCAGACGCTGGGGCTGGGCCAGCACTGGGGGGAGGGAACTCAGAAGAATCCCCCCATTTTTTGCTGTTTTTTTGCTGTTTTTTCACCATTTTTCCCCATTTTTTCCCATTTTCTTCCCATTTTTCCTGCAATTTTTTACATTTTTTGCCATTTTTCCCAAAATCCGTATTTTTCACCCCAGACTCTGGGGCTGAGCCAGCACTGGCGCGGGGGGGGGGGGGGAACCGAAAAAAACCCCCTTTTTTGTTTTTTTTTTCCCATTTTTTCTTCTTTTTTTGGC